CCCCATGCTTTGGAGAAGGATGTTGCTAGGAAGTTTCCTAATGTCTACATTCAATGTATTGTGTGTTTCTTCCCCCTTTCCCCTGCCTATATAACTCAGGCCTATGGCTATTGTAAGACAACTTTGAACATTGAAAATCCTTTACTCTTTGAGTATCCATAAAATAGTGTGATGCTATTTTAGCCAAATTCCTAATTCTATATCTTAAGGGTGGTTATCTTAAGTGTGAGTTTTAGGTTCTAGATATTTGATTAAGTGTGTCATATCTTAATTAAATTCTAGATTCAAACCCCAAGTTAGGATAAGAGTGTGTAATATCTCTTAAACACCAACTTGGTTTATCCATCCCCGATTTTCTCCCATTTCTTACCTCCCCATTTCTCCTTCTTAATCCTATTCTTTTCTTCCATAAACTACCAAAAAGAACTCCTAAAACACCCTCCATACTTTCGCCCACTATTTCCCTTCCATTTTCCTCCGCAAATCCGCCACTAAATTATCAACTTGATAAGACCCCCGGTTTACCCCTAACACCATACCACCCTCTCTTCTCCAACATTAATCCCCCTTCATCTAGCACCCCTGACGTCCAGAATATCTCTCACCCAACTCCTTATCGCCTACGCAAAAATCCAACTCAAGCCACCTCGTTACCTTCCTTAGTCACTGCCCCTATTCACCCCAGCGCCATCTCCACACCTCTGACCCAAAACCCTTCAAACCCCATCTATATTTCATCCCAAGCTGCTACCCAAACAAATCCCAACACCCCCTCCATGCCCCAGCCTCTAAACTCTCCTACAACCATGCCTATAACTCCTCCACAAACGGTCCTAACCAGTCCCACTCCTACCCTTACACACCCACTTGAAAATTCATCTAAACCCATTCCTTTACCCTGCGAAAACACTGTCCAAAGCACTCTAAAAGCCTCCCCCATCCTCACAGTTCAAAGTCCTCCCAAAACCATAACCTCTTCTCAAAATGACATGGTCACAATCCCAGCAAAATCCAGCTCCACCGTCCCAAAGAAACCCCATTGCTTCCACTTACAAAAGATTGCTCATCATGCTTTTGGGTGTCCAAGTAAAAACCAGAAGTCCTTGGTCCAAAGTGAAGAGAAATCAGAGCTTTTGGGACGAAAGGAAGGACAAGATGATATTAAATCTCTAGGCCAAGATAAAGGTGAACTTGTGGTCATTATAAGACCATTGAGTAGTTTGGCTGATCAAAATAAACTTGGAATCAAATCCCTCTTGAAATCCTGTTCCATTGAATGGCTCAACCATGGTAGAGAACTACGAGTGGAATTGCGTAGTTTTTCTTTATTTCATATTGACAGGACATGGACACCTAATTTTGTGGATATGCATTCATTGAGAAAAGGTTCACCGGCATGCTTATTCCTACCCCTGACCGCACCTAACCAAGGGATAGAACCCCGGGTTCATCTAAGTCTAGGTGAAAACAAACCCAATGGCGATTTAGAGAAGAAGGATGTTGTTGCCACCAGAGATGAGTTCTTAAGCTGTGGATTTCCTAGCTTAAATATGCAAGTTAATGAGAAGAAGGATCAACATGGAGCTATGAGCCCAGATGTGGAAGCCTCACCTCAAAGGCTATCTTCACTAACGGCACCTCGTGCCAAATTCGTTAAGTTTTTGCAGGTTCCATGTGAAGAAGAAACTTCTGAGTTTTATCATAAGACTCGTAAAAAGCTTATGAAGAGAGAGTTAAAAAGTTCCATCCACTATCAGTCCGGACACCTAGTGTGGGTCCATGTGCAAAGAGAGCGTTTCTCTGGAAAATGCAAGGCAAAGCTTCAACCTCGAGATGATGGTCCATTTGAAGTGGTAGCCAAGGTCACTAACAATGCCTACATGGTTGCCCTTAGCAGAAGTGATGGAGTTTCTGCCACGTTCCGTAAAAGAGACCTCAGTCCATATGACGGTCTCGATTATCCGTTGAGTTTGAGGGCAAACTCTTTTGAAGACCGGGAGGATGTTATATCCGGGCTAGGCCCTATCATACCCTCCCCCATGTCCCACACCCGAGGCTGAGCCCACACTCCCCATACCTTCCCTAAATATCCAAAATATTTCCTTTTCAAAATAAAGTTTTTCCTACTCTTATTTTAGCCATGGCCGAAAATAAGAGTGTGTAAACCAAAACCTTTTTGTTTGTTGTTATTTTCCTGCTTTTAAGCCCTTCCAATAAACAAATAAAACCCTCTCTCCTTCCCTTTTATTTCCTGGCCAATTAAATCTCACAATCCCAACATAAACACCAACAAAGAGCCGTATGCCCTGCCCCACAACCTTGGCCGAGACTACCCCACTCCCTACTTGAGTCACTCCATCAATGTAACACATTTTGTGCCAAAAAACCATATCACACAATAAGTCAATTTCCCCTTTCATTTCCCTAAGCTAGGGCCGAAACACACCAAGCCAAACAACCATATTTCATCACCCAACATCCCACAAACATTGTCCCCCTCTTGTCCCCTAGTACAACCGAAATAACAAGCACAACAAGCCAAGGGATATTTGTGATTACTTTGACCTTTAAACCACCATAAAAGTCACCATATAAAAGCCATATTTCTCACACCCCACTGTCCCCCACTATGGCCGAATGAATCACTCCCCAACCACCAAATATTCACCTCACTA